TGTCCATTCTCAATAAGATCAGCTGCTCATGTGAGCAAAAGACTCACTTTCACTAACCAAAGCTCAGGAGCTTCTGCTAATAGGATTTCCTGCCGATTTATAACTCGCCTGTCGGGTTCTTGAGCATCTGGCTTTGGCTTCGCCCTGGAAGATGAATGTGATGGTTTTCAAATGTTTTAATTAAACGTTGAAAGGCAAAGCCAGTGAGCCCAGATCTTTGACGTCAAGCCTTGTTGTCAAACAACTGGCGCGTGGAGAGACTGCTGAGGCGCTGGTTACTCCTCTCTGTCAAGTCTGCAAGCCGAATGTGTTCGTACTCATTAAGTGAGGTCTGCACATCGTTCCCAGCGTTCCTTCAAGCAGATTATATTATCATTCTCATTCCCCGATAAAAAGCCATCCGTAATGTGGACATTTCATTCGTGCTTATATGAATTTCTATTTATAAAATGAAGCTTCATTTCTTTACCCTGTTGAGCTGAGTGTGTGTGGGTGGGTTGGTGCGCTTTTCCTCCTTTGTCTGTTTTTTTGTCTTCTTCCAGCTGTTGCTTGTAATATTACAAAACATAATGCATGTCCTAATTTGCACATAATTAGAAAGCAGTTTTTATAAGCAACTCAAGTATGTGTTAGGGATGTTTTAATGATCTTCTCTCAGCAGCGCAATCTGTCTCCTCTAACACTCTGGGTTTTGGGAGCTCCTCTTGTGCACCATATACCATATACGCTGTACTTGTTGTAGCGCTGGCTAGCATATGGAGCCCAACCTGAAGATTTGTCATCTTGTCTTTTAGTTGTGGATGCATTTCCTGTTCCAACAGCAAAGCCCTATGAGTAATTGCACTCCCACTCTTAATGGGATCATTGAAACATTGAGTAAAACCAGTAAGGCTGTGTGTGTGTTTGGGGGGGGGGTAGCTAGCGGGCTCAGTGGTCACTAAAGTCTCTCAGTATGGGATTGGGGGAGTCCTTTTAATCATTTGCACCCCATCACTGTCCTGGGGGAAGTCTGAGTGAGGCTAGGGACATTAAGCAACTGGTTTCTTGCTCAGTTCTGCAGGATTAGCGAGTGTCTTACGAAGGTGGCCAAAGATTCCATTGATCACATGGGCTAATTCGGCATAGAATTGGTCTGTTTAATAATTGCACACTGCTTTGGGATGAAAACCCGATGATTTTGTTCATGGGGATCTGCCTTGGAGAAACCAGCTCAATAGAAGTTCTCAATGTCTGTGCATTACACCCAAACTCGTCTGTTTCTCTCCCTGTAGGTTTATTTTTTTTCTTTCTTTCTAGTGTTTCTCTCTCCTGCACTCAAGGAATCTACTTAGTTAATGTTGCTCAACACGACTGTGTGTCCTTATCACACACCACTCAATGCTCTCGTCATTGGAGTGTGCAGGAGCACAGGCACACTGGGAATACGCTAGGAACCGGGAAACCATTAGTTTCAGCACTGGAGGTGAGAATATAGGCAATAATCATGATAAGTCTGCCTTGGGGAAGACAGGCCGAATGTCAATTCAGGAACTTGTCTCATCTTTGCACAGCAAATAGGATTAGCCCTTGTTTTATGGGTTGTTGTCATTGCAGAATGAAGGGTGAATGAGCCAACAGGCTATAGTGTATCAGCAGTTCATTACAGGTTAGGAAGCAGCAGGATTATCTAAGGAAGGAGCACGGAAGAGGAGCCACCTGAGAGTCTGGGAAAGCCCAGTGTGGATTTCAGGCAGCATTCCCGAGGAAGATCAGTTTCAGACCCGGTGGGTGCAGGGGTGGATTGGGTGACACTCTCTCCATTTCTGAACTAAGTTAGAAGGAAAAAAATGCCACATTTCCAGAAATGAGACCCCAAGGATTCTCAGTAAAAATCACCATTCCTGTGTTTTTTTCCTCCAAAGCCGCATACTAAGAGGGGGGCCGAGAGAGACGAGGTGGAGGGGGGTGGGGGGAGGTGGGCTATGTTTTTCTGACTGACGTGCACCGTCAAGATATTTTGCAATTAAACTGTCTTCCCCCGAGAGCTGCTCTGTCTTCCTCTGGAAAGGAGGAGAATTAGAAAGGAATTATACAGAACAGGTGCTCACTGGCTATTTAGCATTGTCCCCCAGCTGCCTGAGAGCAGAGGCCCTGTTTGAAATCCTGGGGTGTGTGCGCAGCGAGGAGCAGGTGGCTGTTAGCCTGCAGGGTGGGCACAGGCTGTTTCCCCTTGCTTTGGGAAAGCAGCTCCTACTTTCAGCACCCTGGAGAGCAACCGTGAGCTGGAACAACCTGTTGTCCTGAAGTGTGGGGGGAATAAAAAAACATTCAACCTAAGAAAGAGAAAGTGTGGTTTAACGACTGGTAGATTAGTTTGCTAATTTAAGATACAATGACTACAGTAAATCCCTGTCGTATTTTATGCATATATGCAGAACATATAATTCCATTACAGTCTTGGGTTTTGTTGTTTTCAGCTAGCCCTTTTTTTTTTGTTCAACAGTTGGAAACACGGGAATGATCATCCTATAAATCACAAATACAGAGTAAAAAATGTGTTGCCCACTTACACGTACTCAACCACAACATCATCGCAGATGAGTCAATCCACTTAGAGAGACCGTAGCCTGATGCTCACATGACCCCCATTCCCCATGGCGCTTCTCCACGTTTCGAAGTGATAGCATACTCACCCCAGCCGGGATTGCTCACAGCATCTGATAGACAGCAAATGGGAATCTGGGCCTTATGTATCAGTATATTTTATGTCTGGTGTTGTAGCTCCCATTCAGGCGTGATACACAAAATTACCGTAGTTGCACGCTTTGGCCATGAGCTGAAAAGCAGGAGGTAAAAAAAATAACACGAATTTCTGGAATCAGAGTTAATCTGCAGAGACAGAAATAAAAAAAAATGTCTCTCTAAGCAGCGGACGTACCGAAGCGTGTGTGAGGCAATGAATAATGCAAGAACAATAATACAATCTTATTTATGAGCATTTTTCAAGAAACTCAGTGCAGGAGCTGGAGGCAGATAAAGCCAGATGCAGCCAGGTGACCTTACACCGCCCTCTGTAGATTTAAAGATTAGATGTTGACTGGGAGGGGAACGGGCTCTGAAAGGCACCTCATCGCTCGGCTCAGGCGCACATTCCCCTCCTGCTTAATCAGGCCCCTTGTTTGTTTAAAACCTCCTTCTTCAGCAGGAACTTACCGCCGTGAAATTAAAGTTTAAATTAATCTTTTATCAATTCTAATGCAGAGGACCCAAAGAAGAGAAGAGAATTTGAATGAATTACTGAATAAATAAATAAATGAAAGCACGAATGATGGTAAACTATGTCTGGGTGAAGTCTGTGCATGATGAAAGCTTGGTATACTGTACATGAAAACGTTGTCTAGATCCTGAGGGAAATCTGTCTTCTGCTGACAGCCCAGCCCAGTCCTGCTAACCGGTCCTTCTCTGGTTGCTCTCTCTTTCCACTGATCCCCAAGCTGCTGTGCGTCAGTACTGGAAACCTGGTCTGCCCACCCAGAAACCTTCTGTTTGTAAGCAGGCTTTTCCAGGAGAGCCTTCACCTGGGTCTCTACATAGCCACTGCTTGGTCATGACACTCAAAACCATGTTTTTGTGATGGGCCGGCATAGCTTATTCCATGCTCCAGGAAAACAAAATCCTTATTCCTGTTACTATACATATTCTTTTTGCAGCACACACAACGTCCTAATACAACCATCTGTACTAGAATATCTGATTTGCTGAATTGAAAATAAGAACAATCAGAAAGGTTCTTCCAGTGGATATAACCACTAAAGACGTTCACATGTACTGTAGGCTGGCCTGGAGCAGGAGCATCTTAATCCATTTTTCTAGAAGGATTCTAGTTATTATATTTTTATATTATTTACATCATGACACTATAATCCAGTTGCAAGAATTCAGATTGTGCCATTAGCTGCCTATGCTGCAGTGCACACTCCTGCATGAGTTTGGGAAGGGCATTGCACTGTGAAAAATGGCATCTGATCTAGCAAATACATGCTTGGGGACAGCGTGTACAATCCTCATCTTTGTCCGGCTGGTATGAGGGTTAATATTGGTAAAGCACAGTTGATTGAAATCACAGATTTTATCTCTTCTATACCCCTCCCCAGAAAACAGGACCCATCTAGCCTACTGTATTTGGTTACTAGTTGCACACTGATCTGAGGATCTCCTCCTGATGTTTTTTGGATGAAACCAGGGTATGAACAACATGGTAGGGATACTTAATCCAGATACCCAGAACCCTCTGCATAAAGAAGTGCCTCTTGTTCTCAGTTCTCAGTTTTACAGTAAATGCACATGACTGTGGTTTCCACTTGAGTTCTCCGGATCATGTTTCACGCTTGATTCTGAAGTAATCCCCTGGGCTCAGTATCAGTATCAGTATCAGTGAGGATTCTGAATTCTTGAATTGGATCTCCTTGTATCATAGGTCCACTCCATTTGGAATTGCTCATTTTTAATTTAAAATCTCAGACATCAAACACAGTCTGTCCGCAACTCATTCACCAATTCCGACACTAATAAACCTGACTGATTTTCTTTCTAGGAAAATAACTCTGGAAAAGCAGATGTCTGTCTACTCACTAGTGGTCCACACAAGCAGTACGTTTCAGTCAGAAGCAATGCCACACTCTACACAGCTCATAGAGAAAACAGGAGAGCCTTATTTTCTTTGTAACAACCCCAGATAAATACCAAGATAAACCTTCTTTGTAATCTCTTTTTTTAGCACATTCAGGAAAAACAAAAGGAAATCTTTATGTGCTTCATTAGCAGAAAATATATTTTTTAAAAACACCCCCTCTCTGAAGAATAGAGAGTGCTGATATGTGTAATTTGGGTATGTTAATGAATGGCAGTATCAGTGTGAAGGTGTCACACAGCGGCCATTCAAGAGAGCGGTAAAACATGAAAAGAGAAAGCATGGAGCAGCACAGGATAAATAATGAGGTCATTAGCTGCGATAATAGGGCTGTGTTTTAATGATCTTAAGAGTGAGATAACACATTACATTTAAAAAAAGAGAGAAGTAGTAAAGCGATAACTCAAGCCTAATTCCCCCAGTCAGAAAAGTCATTTCTGCTCTAATTTTCATGCGAGCGCTATTTAAAATTTACACGTTACATTCATCAGAGCCTCCCCTCTCCTGCTGTGGCATTGCTATATAAAAAACACTGGGAAAAGTACGTACCCAGAAGAGACAACATTTCAAACTTTCAAAATACTGTTACAAATCGGCGGTTACGAAAAAAGAGAATTACAAAAGAAGACCAAGCAAATGAGTCAGTAAGTCAAATAGATAATTATAACCCCCATGTGTTAAAGATTTGGCACCTGAGTTCTTTTCTTCTCCAGCACAGCTTTGATGAAAAGGGTAATAAATCATGCACGCTAGGTTAAACAAATACAAACAATGACAAAACACACACTAAGAACACACAGCTCAAACTGTAACATACAAGTTACTCTATTTACAAACAACACTTCCCAGAGATCTATGTCCTGGCCAACCAGAAAAACCCCAGAGTGCTACCAGTTATTAAAATCCTATATAATACCTGCTGTAGACAGGTCAACAGAAGAGATAAAGCTGTCTTCTAAACCAAGCAGAATACACTTACGGTTAAATCTCTCTCTCTATATAAATCTGGATGCGACAAACTGAATCTCCCCTTTCCAAAAATGCATCCCCTAAATAGGAGAGGCCGTTTTTAACCTAGGGATTCTCTGTACAGGAAATCAGAGTTTCTTGAAAACAATAGAATGGCCAGCTCTCTTAACAAGAATCTGTGTCTTTCTGTCTCTTCCCATCTTTTTTTTATCCTCTGTTCCTAGACTGTTGATAACGCTCAATCATTTACTAATTCCTTGGATCAATGTGTCTCAGAAACCCTTATACTTGGCCAACACCTCAGTTCCTTTCTTGCTTTGAAGCTCACTGACACTATCTGAATGTTTGACCCTTGTTCCTAGATTCTTGAGAGACTTCAAGAGCTACTTCCAATAACCATAGCAAGATGAATCCAACAGACTCTGTAGCTCTAGAATGTAAAAAATGTGAATGCAAGGAATATAACGAAGTGTGTAGTCTCTTGTTTCTCTGAGTGTGGACAGAGTACACTGGTTGTAGAAGTGGTCTGTGTCTCTGTGTCCGCCTTCTGCTCCCTCCTACCCATTCTGGGGGATGCTGGAGAAACCTGATGGAGAAAACGGGTGGCAATCAGATCTCTGAGAACAAAGATGATCCGTCGCTTCCTGAGGATGCGACAGACGCGGGATGTGATTCCACGCAAGGGACAGCTGAGTCTCCAACATGGATTCGCATGACACTCTCTCAGAATTTAGCCAGGTTTACCTGAGCTGCCGATATACGCTTCCAGCAAAACAACTCCATTCGAAACAGTGCTGCCAATCAGAGGATGTTAGGTGACCTTGAGAGAATTCCGCCTGCAAAGCGTGCTTCTGCAAAGGTGCCAGCTTGACAAGGTTACTTTCTGAGTGCATATTGTCCCATTCAGTGCAACAGCATGCCTGAGATGTGCCGTTAAGCCTGAACCTTCAATATGCAGCATGGCTTCTGCCTTGCGCGAAGTGGTCTGTCAGCCCAAGAGATGAGCGATCCCCTTCCTGATTACCTGTCGCCAGTTTCGCTGACAGGCAAAAGGGGCTCAGTCTGCCAGGGACAATAGATTGAAAGAGAGGGAGACTGGAGGTTAATGTGCCTGCAATGGTAATTTAGTGCTAGACAGGTGATCCCTCATCAACCAGATTTTTCTACTGATTTAGTATCAGATGAAGCGAATTCAGAATTAGGGCCCTGGGGTGTCTTGGAGTTTCGCGCTGATGAGGTTTTTGACATTCGTTAATTTTCCAAAAAATGTTCAGTGCGAAACGGTTTGCGTTAATGTGCCTTCGTCTGAAGGTTGTGACAGATGAATCCTACCAGAATTTAAGACGTAGAAAGATTTTTTCGGAGCCTTTCGGATACTGTTTACAACCAGAAACAGAAATTAATGTAAGGGTGCAGTAGACGTCTGTATAAACATGAGAAGGGTGCCCTGCAGTTTGGGACTGAGTGCTGTTCTGTTGTTTGTTATGGGAAAGGAACATCTGTCTGACTTCTGTTTTATTAACGAGCATTGCAGGTGCCCTTTTCTGAAGACTCTTTCAGGGCTTTTTATATGTTAATGTATTTTTTTGTGGAAAACAAATTGAGCTAGAATCCTCCATCAGCCAGTATAATTATAAAAGCCCGCAGGAGGAAGAGGGTGGAATTGAGGATGATGAGGATGGTGGTTCATTGCTTCATGTTGATTTAAGAGTGCAGGAGTTCATGGCCGTGCCCAGACTGACGATCTTGTCCTTATCCTTCAACACTGTAGCTGGAGAGCAGGGGGTTCCAGCACTGGGCCCGAGTGTCCAGCACCATTTCTAGGTCACCATTCAAACAACAGCTTCTAAAGACTTGGAACTATTTCGCTGTGATCAATTAAGCAGGTGACTTGCCAAATTAAAGTCATTTAGAGAACATTTGGGACCAAAAGTACCCTTCAGCCCTGAAAGACCATCATTCTCTTAATTGAACAGATTGCTTGTTTAATTCATTAACAGCTCACAGGTGTTGCCAAACCTTAGAAATGACACCTACTTGAGCAACTGGATGGGAGCTCTTGAGGACTAGGGCAGAGAGAAATGTCCCTGTGCTACGTTACTTTTAATTACTTCATATGTGCAACCTACATAACATTTTTGAGAAGTTAGTCAGGACATGCAGTGACAATCCTGATACCACTGAATCCAATGCTCTTTCAACCTGAGAGCTCAGGTCTTCAAAAGTCTGAAAGCCTTGCTGTGCCCCTTAGGGTGAATCTGCAGAGAGGCTGAGAGTACATTTGAATACGTTAATGAGAGCGATGTTTAAGTCAGAGTTGGCCATGGCAGCACATCGGCTGCATGAATAAATTAATGAACTTGTATTATTACCTTTCAGCTCATTATAGCAGGATGCAATCAGATGGATTATTTTCTCTGTCTTGCACGCTGTCTAGTGGGACAGCCCTCTTGCTGAACATGTAAAAGAAAAGAAAATTCCCAAACAGGGAAATCAATTGTTTCATGTAGTGCCAGTCTCTGATGTTTTCATTCTCCCTTGCTACTTTTCTGATTCAGCTGGTGCGGCTTATTTATTCTTCCCAGCGCCTGGCAATGAGAGGGAGCTAATTACGGGAGAGAATCGGCTGCACTTCGGGCTGCTCCTTAGACACCGTTCCCTGGCCCCACAAAGCCAGGTGGTATCCTGGCGCGGATGATAAGCGGATCTCGCACGAGGCCTGGCTTAGTCCTTTGAAGACTGGAATGGGGCTGGAGGGCAGAGGAGCTCTTCCAGGTCAAGAGCTCTGTGCTCCTGCTGGCTGCTGGGTACAGGAACTGCTGCTCTGGAGATCAGCTCCCTGGACGGGGAGCCCTAACACTTCTTGGAAGTCCTGCTCCACTCCCTCTACAACAGGGCTCTCAGCCTCATTTCCTGCAGGATTCTAGGGGCTGGTCTAGTTTTTTTTTTCCACTCCAGCTGTCATATCCCTGGCATTAACTTCATTTTGGAGTTTTTTTCCTTGGCACTTTTTGCCGACACTAAACATCTCTTACCCATAAAGGTGTCCAGTGAATTCACTTCTTAAAAAAACACACATACTGTACGAGACCAACATGGGATTTCACTTTGCAAGGCACAGTAAGCTCATGGACGCTTAGGCTTAGGTGCACTTATGTTTTAAAGCAATTTCAGAGTCGCCAGTCATTTCTTTAAATTTATAGCCACCCCGTCTGGAATCCAGATGCTCAAGTGTCGCTTGTTACAGCTAGAACCATTGTTCCTGCATGGGCAGAATGAGGGATTGAGCACTCCCTCATGGTCCCCTGCATTGCTGTTGCTCTGAAAACTTAGCAGATGCCATCCCAGCAGCCCTCAGTCAACCCTGTTCACAGCTTGGTGACGTCACGGCCCAGGTGCGTACCGCCACCATCTGGGCCCTGGGGCTCACTCAAGCCATGCTCTGAGCAAGCTACTATATTGGTTCAGCTTCTTCCAATCACTCAAGTCACTAGTACCACCCTGGGACAGTACAGTAGCTACTGTACAGTATAAACCATTTCCAACATAATTGTCATTTCCATTTGTTTTTGGTTAATCAAACAATTAGACAGGACTCAGGGACAAACAAAAACTGGGACTGACCCTGACTCAGCATTGATAATATAAACACTGGCCTGATCCAACCCGATCTCAACTCGACCACAACACACAGCACGGACATCTCCACGCATTCCCGGCTTCTGGCAGCAGGGGGCACTGCATTTAAAAAGTAATGAATACATTAGCAACTATGAGGCAGTGATGCATTAACCTGAAAAACTTTTGTTGACCAATAAATGCACAATCCATCTCAGTCCAGTAACTCTGGTGAAACAAGTTAATGCTTTTTAGTAATATGGGTTTTAAATCACTTACAGCTCTTTTAAATATGAATATTGAAGATAGAGTCATTCACAAAGACCAGACTCTGGGAGCTTGGCGTCAATAATGAATGAAAAGAAGTGTGCTCGTTCATCTTGTCTCTCCGGGAGTGTGATTGATGAAGGGACAATAGCAGTTCCAGCACCACATTCCTTATTAACCAGCGGGATTGATATTTACCCAGCAGGAATAAATCAAACTCTAAGTATTCAAACACGTACGAACCTGTGAAAACAGAGCTGGAGAACAAATAAATCAAAAGAGCCATGTATTTTGATGCCGGTAGCTGTAACTGTTTGTTCTGAGTTTTTTTTATATGGGATGAGATGTTTTGTCGGTTATTTGGGGGCACATTATAGTTACTGGAGTCACATCACTATAGTGCATAGCTGTTGTGTAAGGAGTGAGGATTTAATTTTTTATGTTTACCACTGAATAGCACGTAGTTTAAATCATTAACTTTCCCCCCCCCCATGCCAACCAGCTCTCATCCCTAAAGTCCCTCAGCACATCCAATTCCGATCTGTCCCAGTTTTCCCTGTGGAATGGACATCGACGAGGAGGGCTGTCTGTGCCAGTCAAGCACCTTCCTATGACGTTGGGCCTGACTGCACTGTCCACTTTAAAAGCTATTTTTAACAGCTGAGCACATCTGTTTATACTCGGAATGGGAACAGGTTGCAAATGAGCTCCATGCTCTCCATCAACACACAGCCTCCAACCCTGGCAAAAAAAACCTGAGAGATTAGAAAAAAGACTTGAATTGCCGCTTGCTCTGTTTTGTTATGGATGATCACACAGGCCAGTGCCTGTGTCTTTAATAGCCTTGCCTCTCTCCAAAGGGAACCAAGGCTAACCCTCTCCTTGCTTTAGCCCAGCCCGCTGAGGCAGCATTTCTGATTCCCTCCTCTGCCCCCCCCCTCCCTGCTCTCCCCACCTCGCTCTGTTCGGAAATAGCATCTGCCACCTTCTTAGCAATCGCATCGAGCCCCCAGCGGACTCCGAAATCAAACAGATACCCTGCTCTGTGCGTGAACTGCTCCTCCTCCCACATCTGCCAGCAAAGTCTGTGGTGCTCCCGGTGAGGTTAGTGTGCATCGTTAGGAAGCAAACACAAACAGCCCAGGTACACTCACTGCTGTCCGCCCGGCTCCTCATGCGTCCAGATCTCCACGCATAGGACCTGGCGGTTCTGAGCAGGTGATCTCTTGGGTTGGTATCACCGCTGGTCGGGCTCGGATTGGCAGGATTGAGGTGTCTCAAGGTGTGCCAGGAAATGCACTGGGTGAAAGCTGCTGGTTCTTACGACAGTAGCATTGACACGACAGGGTCTTACAGCAGAGAGTGCTGGGGTGGTTTGCAAGGTGCCAGTGCAGAAGGGTGCTGAAATGATTTATAGGGTGTAGTCAGGGTATAGTCCCCAGCATGTGTGATATAATACACCACAGCAGTAATATTTTTTTTGCCGATGCACAGAGGCTCAAAACATTGGAGGTCCCCTTGGGCCTGAAAGGCACATTAGGGAAAGCACAGAACATCTAGCAAGTCAATATGGAAGGCATGGAGCATCTGTCTTGTCACGGTTTTGTAAGTTGCCTTCTGTAGCAATCTCCACAAAGTGTCTCTGCGTCTAGTTTGTTCTGGTGTTCAGGACCGGGATGGCTTTCTGGGGATTACCCCTTTTTTTTGCAGTTTTTGAAGGATTGCATGACGTGAGGTGTCTGTGTTCATCTGAAGGAGCTCGCAGGGCTGGTCTGTGGTGAATAACTGTATGTTAGCGTAGGAGTCGCTAGCAGCTGCTGGTAACAGTACTGGCTACAGTATACAGCTGTAGGATGTGGTGAAGATAAATCGTGTTCTCAAAGGGATCAGCAGCTCCCTGGATATCTGAGCAGCAGGTGGGAGTAGTTAACAGCTTTCCCCCCAGACTTCCTAGCTGAAAGTATATGGAGTAACAATCCTGGTCTCTCTGTCTGTTAAGTAATCATTTAGCCCAAGTGTCTTGGTGTTCTGGGAAGTGTCTTCTCTCTGAGAAGACACAGGCACTGCCTCGGCGTTGCAGGTGTTGAGAGAAGGCGACGCTGATGGTACATTTTGATTTGTTAACATCTGGAGAAATCGGGCCGTCTGGTACTGAAAAGTCATTTCGCATTTTGTTTATCTCCTTGTTTATTATCTACTGCTTCAAAATTATCAAGGGAAAATTATCATTAATGAATTGACTGATCAGCCTTTTTTCATCCACCCCTGAGTTGCAGCCTCCACATACTGTACATTTCACCTCTATGGAAATTCGAGTTCTTGACTCCAATGCAAAGTTCTAATTTATAATTACTCATTTCTTCCATGTACAGCTGTATATTTATATGTACTGTACAAACACCCAGGTTTCAGGCATGTCTTTCTAAATTGGATGGCTTTCACGTTGGCTTTAATTTTCCTAATAGAATGCAGGGCAATTGAAAATAATAACATTTTTAAATTGATCCTAGAGCACCTGCTTATTCCTCTGCGCAGGAGGAAGGCGGTTCTGATGTAAGCCCGGCAAGACTTGCTTCTCCCCTGCATGCTTTCCTTTTTGATACTAGGCTGAATCAGAGCAGAAAAACAGAAGCAAGGCTACAAAACGAGAGAAGGCCACTCTGGTCATTTAATTCATGTGGTTGCTTGTATCTAGGAGATCTGAAGATCTAGAGAGAAGCCAGGGTGTCAGCTTTGCCAGGGTAGTTTCCTTTTGAAGGAGTCAGCGCTCAGATAGTACTAAGCCGATTTATTACATGTGCACACATGGGAAAGGAGAATATAGCAATTCAGAATTCTTCATGTGCGTTTGCCTTCATGCAGTCAGGTTTTTATACCCCTAGGACAGCGTTTTTATTAATATAGAAGGTTTTGCTAAAATCGCCTCACTACATCTCCTCAACAGATCAAGATTAAATAGAGGTAGGCCATTTTCCGTGTCAAGGGAGCAGTTTCAGGGTCAGCATGTCAGAAAATAAAGAAAAAAACAGGGGGAACCATTTGTTAGAGAAGGGGAGAGACTGGAGTAACCGGAGCAGCACAGGCGAGATAGATCGAGAGGGGAATGCAAGACAGACAACACTTGTAGTTTGTAACACTACAATTTAAACATCTAGGCTGGGGAGCTTGTTCCATACTCCCACAACCCTTTGTGTATAAAGGTGCCTCCTGTTCTGAGTGTTAATAATAAATAATAATAATTGCTCATACTTATATTCCGCTTTCTGGACACTCAAAGCGCTTTACAGGTAAAGGGGACTCCCCTCCACCACCACCAGTGTGCAGCATCCACCTGGATGATGCGACGGCAGCCATAGTGCACCAGAACGCTCACCACACATCAGCTCTCAGTGGGGAGGAGAGCAGAGTGATGAAGCCACTTCATGGATGGGGATTATTAGGAGGCCATGATTGGCAAGGGCCAATGGGAAATTTTAAGTGCAGTCCAGCAGAATCACAGTCCAGTGGGTTTGCCATATACTGAACATGCTGAGCATGCTGCCCCTATAAACTACCTCTCTGCCTCTTCTCTGCTGGGAGGGAGCCCCCTTAGATACATGGCTTTTTGATGGAGAACCAACCCCCTCCCAGCCCTAGAACAGGCCTCAACACAGAAGTATTCTTGGCTGTGCCTTTGCTTTAGACCTCTGGTCTGACGTCCCTAAGCCGCAGTGCTCAGCCAAACCTCACCCTGAAAGCCACGTGATCTCTGTGCCTTGCTGCTAGAAATAACATACTGTATTACTCCTCGTAAAAGCTGCTTTTCGCATAAAAGAGGCTCGGAGGCTAATTTTTGAAAAGCAGTGACAGACTGCAGTTAATGATCCCCGGTCTAGTTTTGATTTCGAACGTCTGAGTCACATTTTTCCCGTGTCCTCCAGACTCCTGCAGTGCAATGCCCGTGTAGAGTTTTTTTGTTGACTCCAGCATTTTGAGAAAAGCCTGGGGAGGGTTCCAGTCCTTCTTTCCAGTGGGATTTTGGGACCTGAGCACCCTATCCAGGCACAGATGAGAGACTCTCTTTCTCTCCTTGAGCTCTATAGCCTTGCATAGGTGCTATATCTGCTCCGTTTAAGGAGGTGGCATTAAAGTTACTGGTAGACTTCACAGAGCAGTGCTCTTCAGCCCCGCCTCCTCTCCTTTTCCCACCTGGGTTTCTGAATCAATAACTTTTAATAGACTGAGTCCAGTCTGATTGAGTATGTGTGTCAGATATGCTGTGGCTGAAGGTAGAGAGCATTAATCAAGGGGAAATTACTTTTTTCTGCTTTCCTTCTCTGCCCCCCCCCCCCAACCTGGTGTTGAAAAAAGCCCCCCTGGGAGCAGCAGTGTTGATTTAGGAAAATGCGTTTGTTTTGAGTCGAGTGGTTTGTGTTGTAGGCGAATATCTCTTCATCAGCGGGGCTTATAAATATTAACAAGAGTCTCACCGCAGGCTGTGCCACGCCACTGCTGGATGCTGTGAGCGATCTCCGGCTACTCTCTACACGAGGACAGGGGAGTCTTTGAGGAGGAAACCGCCCTGGAAGAGAGCAAACACAGGAGTGCAGATTGCAACGTGGCAAAAGATTATGAGAGCATGGCTCTGCTTTGCAATGTAAATGATTTCAGCTCTAAAACGGCACTGATGTTGATTGTGCTTCTCATATGTCATGAAACAAGCATGGACTTTGCTTTGCCGAGAAGTGGATGGGCTGCTAAAGTATCACACCAGTTATTTAACCAAGTAAATCCATTTAAAACACATTCTCGTTTCCAAACGATGACCTGGAGACCCATTTACACAGCAGAGCATGCTCTGGGCAGGCTGATTAAAATACCCTGCTCAAGGGTACGACAGCTGCCACCCCAACGGGATTTGAACTTGTGACCTCCTAACCACTCCTCCACACTGCCGCAGGTCAGTGTGCGTTTCTGTTTGGTCTGAGAGGCTTGTCACCTTGTAGAACTGAGACAGAGAACAGCACACCGCTTTTGGGTTTGCTCAGAGCTGCATAGACATGTTTAGAGCTTTTCTGAGAAGCCACTCAGGTGTGTGTGGTGCCTTTTAGGGCTGCCTCCTGAACCTCTCTGGTTGCTGTTCACGTCTCTGACTGAGCCTTGTGTTTCTGTGCTGGAGGAGCGTGGCGGGGGACGGGGGCGTGGGTGGGTTAGGGCCAAACAGACAAGCATTTTGAGTGGGTGAGGGCCTGGCCAGTGATTGGCAGCTAATTGCAAAGCCCAACTGTGTTACCAAAAGCAGTTGTGATAGAGAGGCAATATAACTGTAACCACCAAGATGACTATGGAGGACACAGAAAAATTCTCAGGTCTGTGCATCATTGAAAACCCTTTCTGAACAGCCATTCCCAGTCCCACAGACTCTTATACTCAAGGCTGAAGAAATACTGATATCCCCCCCATCTGTGGAGGTTCTCTCTGTCTTATTATGTCTGGACCCTTTTATGAAATCCCGAGCTACGCTGAGTTTTCAGAAATCCTCTGACCTGAGGTCTCTCTGGTACCGTCCTGCCAGACAGTCAGCACTGCCCATGACCTGTTGAACCTGCTGCCGGAGTCTGACCATGGAAAAAAAACTGCTTAGTCTTGACAGCTGAAATTCACAATGGCCCAGCAGCCAGAGAAAAACAACTGGCTATTTAACATGGTGTTTTGAATGCGGAGAATGTGAGACAGGGAAAGACACCTTCACAGAGATGTGCTTTGCAATGCATAGCCAATGAATATATTTAGCATGTAAAAAGAGGCTGCGTTTCTCTCTTGTCAGATCCAGGGCCTCAGAGAGGCACAATCCCCTGCACGGAGCAGCACAGAACAGCATTGCTCTGGGTTTCTTCAGGGCAGGCTGGTGCTTCTGGGGGGAAACTTAGGAGACACAAATTATTTTCAGTTTAGAAAGAGCGTCTCACTACGAGTTTCTTTCCACATTAGGGAAGTTCATTACTTTGATGAATCACAGTAAAAAAAGCTTCTGCACTCATTCTCTTTTGGCTTTTATTCTATTTTATTACGCGCTGGGGGGGATTTTGTAATTGCATCACAATCTGCATTGTGTTAGGATTCCTCGCGTAATTGTTCTGATCCTTTTTTTTTCATTCGGCATTGTCACCAAATGAAATAAATGGGCTTTAATTAGCGTGTCAGTTGTGGGAAAGGAAGAGGCGTTTGAAGAGCCTGTCGAGCGAGCCGCTGTGAGCAGCGCAGGTGGGGACTGGGGGGGCCGTGGGTGCTGGAGTGAGTTGGCGGATGCAGAGGTGCAGTCGGACAGTCCTAGCGTTTCTGAATGGGCCCGGCCCTTCGGAGTTCCCATTCACTGAAAATCCGCCGTGTGCAACACAGTCCTGGCCGCACCTGCCTCGCCTGCCTGCGCTGACATCTGGAAGCGACCCGCGGCCGGTCTCTGTGAGACCCAGCAATATGACGCCCAATCCGTTGTGGCTGATTCTGTAAAGGCTGTAATTAATCCAGATGGCGGCGTTTTTTTTTTATTTCGCGTTTGCTCAATGGAGTTGGAAAGCAGCTTCCTAGAAAAGAAGCTTTCCTGGCCACACACCTAGAGTACTTAGAATGCAAAGACAAAAATAGCACCCCCCTCCCCACTCTACCTTAAACACTTTTCTCTTCCAGTGTGGGCAAATGCCCCACCTAACTCATTTACTAGGTATCCCTAAGCCAGGGATCAAAGCCCAGACTGCCAGAGCAATCGCTGCACCTAAAGGCAAAGCAGTACCGGGCTGCTTTCTGCATACAAACTCCACCAATGCCCTGCTGTAACTTTCCCCTAAAGCCGCAGATGTGGAGGCCGGCTCTAGGTGAATTGGCCAATGGCAGCGAGCCCCTGCCCCAGGGCCAGAGGTGACGGGGGGCAGGAGTTTCTCCCATCGTTTCACACATCACAGCCAGCAGCCATATCACCCTGCAACTCACAACTGGTAACCCACTGAAGCTCAGCAGGTGTGAGCCTGGTCAGTACCTGGATGGGAGACCTCCTGGGAAAAACTAAGGTTGCTGCTGGAAAGAGGTGTTAGTGGGGCCAGCAGGGGGCGCTCACCCTGCGGTCCATGTGGGTCCTAATGCCCCAGTATAGTGACGGGGACACTATACTGTAAACAGGCGCCGTCCTCCGGATGAGATGTAAAACTGAGGTCCTGACTCTCTGTGGTCATTAAAAATCCCAGGGCATTTCTCGAAAATAGTAGGGGTGTAACCCCGGTGTCCTGGCCAAATTTCCCATTGGCCCTTACCAATCATGGCCTCCTAATAATCCCCCTCTATGAATTGGCTCCATTACTCTGCTCTCCTCCCCACGTAGAGCTGATGTGTGGTGAGCGTTCTGGCGCACTATGGCTGCCGTCGCATCATCCAGGTGGGGCTGCACATTGGTGGTGGTGGAGGGGATCCCCATTACCTGTAAAGCGCTTTGAGTGGAGTGTCCAGAAAAGCGCTATATAAGTGTAAGCAATTATTATTATTATTATCCTTCACAGCAATTATTTCTACAAACCACAGTTTCTACTTTGCTCACAGATAACGAGACGAAAACAAAAACTGATTACCAGGAAGCATATCCCAGCAGAGGGCACTTTATGTCATATGTCTGTAAAAGCACAAAAAAACTTTGTCAAGGTTCACATAGTTTAATGCTATAATGGCTTTACTACTAGGTTCAATATACAATAGGTGTAGCATCATTTCTGCAATTATTTACTAGTCCTCTCATTGATTATTTTGCAAATAGCTGTAATTACTGTCCAATACAATGGCTCTGTGAAAATATCTCCCTAACAACAACATTTCATAGCACAGTGTAATTACTGTACATCTCAACGCAGTAGTTAAACTTTGATGCAGTGAAGTGGGTGTCTGACAGTCACGTCTCTGTACCTGTTTCATCGAAGGTAAAGGAACAGCTTGATTGTAGTTGTGGGCTCCCCCTTCATTACAGCTGACAGCCTGCATTTGGACAGACAATTCGTAAGAGTGCTTTTTGTTCAGGGAAAAAAAACAAAACAATAGCAATCTTTAATGGTGTACCCGGCTTCACTTTATTATCGCAAAGCTGATGACCTTGGAGCTCCTTCGGTGCTGGGACTGACTGTCTACCCAGCTGCTTGGTTATTATTTCATAAGAATTTGCTTCACTGACACTGCCCCGACTCTAACTGAATGCACCCCTCCTGAGTTAAGCCTAGTTAGCACACTACACATGTTGCATCCCCTCCTGCTCCGGCTACTATTTACATAACTGCCTCCCTGTTGGGCAGCCAAGGCCATTTTCAGGAGGAGTAAACTGTAGAGATCCGCCTCAGCCTGTCTCATTCAAAGCCTGCTTGAGCAGTTAAGCCAATTCATCAACTTTCGATTGTCATTGTGTCTGTTCACATGTACTGTATGAGAACAGTCGAACACCAAACCAAGCACAGATGAGAGAAGGCAATTAGATCTTACTTGTTTGGCTGTTAGCAGCTTATTGATCTGAGAATTGCATCCACCAGGACTGTGCGTCACTGTTTATGGAAAAAAAGAGCCACTGAATTGTATGTTACTAATAGTAATTAGCTCTTCTGTCTGGCTTGTTTTATAAATACAGACACGCTGCTTCCATGATAGTTGTTTTCTTTAATTGCATGTTCACTGTGCTGTGCCCTCACACAGGCACCTGTGCCAGGCAGAATTAACATGCTCAGGTATGAATTTGCCTCCGAGATGAATGGAAACAGCCTGCAGAGCACAGCTAGGAGAACGTTGCTTGTTTATGAATGGGGGGGGACTGTAGTGAGAGTGCAAAGACCAGCAGGGTGTGGCTGGGGCCAAGAACAAAAGTCAGGGGTACCCCAAATTTATGATCAGGCTATTGTTTATATTTCAATTAATTTTTTATTAACTCCCAGACACTTCCAAGATGAACCACTGGGATCTAGCTCTGCGTATTTTCGCTGTTTTTGTCTTAGCGGTACACGGAGCTGGAGTGCAGACTCGCTCCGCAGATGCTCTCCCTGCTCCGGAGTTATTCACGTCTACATTCCGACTTATCCCAGCTTCTGTTGGATTAAACAGCAGCAGAAACCCGACGCCCCCCCCACTGACTGGGACACTAGTTGATCACAGATGTGGTATCTCTCTTCTTAAATGAAGATGCAGGACTAACGGAAACATCGGTGACGTCAGTCACTCCTGTCCCATCCCTCCGGTGAGCTGTTGGTAGGAAGTGAAGCGCGTGGCTTTTTCACGCCGTGAAAGCCAAACACTCTCGTTGGTTCCTCCGTGGGAAGACTTGGGGAGAACCCTTAATTGCATGAGCTTGCTGACCCACAGCCGACGGAGATATCTTTCCAGTGCGCCTCTTCCAATCCGCCGTTTTTATGTGTTTGTTGCCTCTGGCTGTCTTTCCCAGGTTAGACTATGATGGGAAACGTGTGTTCCTGCCACACGCCAGGACGTCAAGAGCGATTTCGATTTTCATCCCACAGATTGACTTTATAATCAAAGCATGTTCTCTTGCTGTGCTCCTGCGAGGCTGGGTACTTGGCGCCATAGGTTAACAGACAATAAATTTTCTCACTGCCACGAGAGTCTGCCGGGGAGAGTCCCCACTGAATCAGCCTGTCTCTTGGCAGCAATGAATAGATGAGAGGCAAGAAAAAGAAAAACAAACAAGAACCTCCTCACCCCAAGAAAATGTGCAGCGAGCACGGATTAGCAGTTAAACACAATATTAAATAGTGAGCTTGTCCCCTTTAATCACACACACGCTGCGATGTGCCCGCGCAGACACACACACACATCAGCCCTTGAGCAGATTGTAATGCTTGATCTCTGTAAACTGCCAGGATGGATGTGACTGAACGGTTCTGGCAAATGTGCATATTGATGAGCAGTCAGACCAGCTGCATGGCTGGTGTTTAAAAAGCTCTGTATCATTTTAACGCTTTCGTGCTCATTCCTCTCCATGGAAGTCCAGCCAGCGCATATTCTCTTCCTGTGTATCTGCTATTTGATGTTTTGTTGAACTGCAGTGTTAGTATGTCTATATGAATGTATAAATATATGTATATTCATCCATTTCCAAGCACAGGGAACTACCATTGAAACTGGGAGACCCTGGGAAGCACATGTGAACATGGGAGATGACATGCAGACTCCACACAGAAGGCACCACAGCTTGGAATTTAACCCAAGACACAACCGTTCTGAAGCATAAGCACTCAACACTATGCCAACGATGTGTAAATATTCATTATATAGATACATATACCATGCAATATATCATCGCAGTATCTCCAATCATTTCATAACATCAGAAGCAGAACCTCGAAACAAAACTCTGCATGACTTATTTTTATTTGTAGGAAGCAGCCAGAACCAGTATTGCCCTATTGAAGGCTCATCATTGAGGTATAGCTGTATTTTGACCAGTGAAATTTGGGTTAATGGTATTTTCTCAGATTTGCAAGACAGATGGCTTCAGACATTAGTACTGGCACTATGAATCTGAAACAAGGTTGTTCACTGATTGGTTAAGTGTGATAAAAAAAGATCAGTTGAAGTATCTTACACTTAGTTGACAGTGATACCTCCTCTAAGTTTATTGAGCACTCAGACATCTTAGTCAGTACGTAAGTGGTACTTAAGACATTGTAATGAATTAAAGTAACTAAATTGAGATACAGGGTTGCATTTCTGTTTGCAACTCTGTAGACATCTGTGGAGTTGTTGGTACAGGATACGGACCCATATGTCTGAAAAGGAAGCTGAGTGATACCCTTTCATCTTCTCAGTACCCTACCTGTGGTCAAAGTGCTTGTGAAGTTTAGGCTGTGTTCAGTATGTAGTGAGGTGCCAGGCTGTGCCTGAGACACAGAGGCAGGGCTCCCCTTCATATGAACAGTGCAAGGTTTTGTCTCACATCCTCAGCACACGCAGTATTCTGTAGCATGTAAATTAAATGTAAATTGTCACAGAAAACTCTCCATGCATTTCCTTTAAGATCACCTATGGGTTTTTTAATTTTTTAATGTTAGGAATTTCTGAGAGTGTGTGTTCCACTGGGGGCAGGAGGCAGAGGAAAGGGACCTGAGGTGGGAAGACCTTTATGATGAGCACAAAGGGAATTGCAGCACCTTAATGCAGCACTGAAGCCCTTTCAATGCATTGCACTGACTATAACAGGTGTACACTGCTGCCCTTTCCGATTAGGAGTTTGATTATACTTGCTTCATGCCTAGAACTGTGATGGATTGATGTGGAATATTACACACCATTCACAGGTTCATGCAAAGAGGACAGGCAACGAGGTTAATTCAGCAATGGGTGTTGGGGCACTGGGGAAACAAGTCATTAAGCCTCTTGAGCAGTGCAAGTTGCTGTTCCCTGTCCTCAAAGACACTCAAAAATAGTCAAGAGTCTACTCCTTATAGGTAAGTAGATCGGATTTGAGTCACAACAGTTCACAAGGCTGGTTAATGTCCTTCAGAGAACACAGAGCACCTGACTCGCCCTCTCCCTAGATGGGACACTGAGATTTCCCCTCAGCAAATACTGGTCCCCATTCCTACAGATGGATGGACAAGGGCAATCAGTACAACAGCAGTGTCTGCAGCAAGATCTTGAATGCATAACCCATTAGTTCTGAGTTCACAGACTTACCCACTGTGCTGTTCTGCTACCCCTCCACTCATATCAATTGAATAAAAAAATTCAAGTAGAATAACTGTTGTTATTCTGCAAAGGTGTGGCCTTCAGTGCTACAGCCTCAAAGTTCTCAGGTTCCGGGTTCAATTCTGAGTGGGATCACCTTATGTGTGGAGTTTGCATGTTCCCCTGTTGTCTATGGAGGTTTTCTATGGGTGCTCTGGTTTCCCCTCACACTCCAAAGACATTCTCTTTTACTGGTGTCTCTACATTGGCCAGGTGTGTGTGCATGCCCCAGGATGGACTGGCATGCTGTTCTGCATCCATTTCTTCCAGGTTCGATTCTGGTGCTGCGCTTAGCTACCTCGCAAATGAAGTTCTTAATTTTAAGCAATGCCCTCCAGGGAGGCTGTGGAGAATGTTGTTACCAGTCCAGCTTTTATATATCCAATGTTCCACCGGCTTTATGATTGAGTGCCTGAAGCCCTGAATGACACTTTAAAAGCAGCTTATATTACATCAGCCTGAATAGCACTGCAGTATTTTAATCATTTTTTTCACTCTCTGTGTTTCCAGTTCCCTGAGTCTGGCCCAGAGATGCTGGCTCGGGTATTGATCCTGTGGGCTGAAATTGTGTTTTAATGTCCCCTGCACAGTGCCTTCGCCTCTGTATTCACGGGCAATGCTCTTCTCTCCTGCAGCTTCAGGTGCTGTGAATATGTGACTCATTCCGCCTGCCTTTCCTGTTTTATTCACACCTCTGCCTCTGCTCAGAGGCTCGGCTGATTCCCGTGGGGCTGGTTCCTAATGGCAGTGGTAGTGCCTCTCTCTGACTCTCTGAGATTGCACGGTCCTAAATGACACCTGCTGGACATGTGAGCTTTGCTGCCTCTGTATCCCTGGGATATGGCCCCCAGTCACTGTAGAATGTGCTTTCTGATGATGAACTGATCCGTGGAGCTCATGGCGGCTCCTTCAAGGAAATCAGGGTTGCAATACGGTCCACCAGTTCCCAGGCACGCATGAGAAAGTGCCTCCTGTTTCTAGTTTTAAATGCTCTTCCCTGCAGTTTTCCACTCGTGCCACCCGGTTCTTGTTTCACTGTTGATTCTCAAGAAGAGAAGCCCAGCGGCCTGACCAGCAGAGTCCTGGAGGACCCTGAATCCTTGAATAAGGTTCCTTCAGAGCCTCCTATGTTCAACACCGAAGAGGTTCAGTTTCTTCAGTCCGTAGCTGCAATAACTTTAATGAGCTCTTGCTAAAGGTTTTCGATCTTTTCGTATGAAGCTGCCGGGCCTCATTCCGTTGCCTTTGTATCTGTCCGTG